TGAAGACTAAAGAGCCGTTGGAAAGGTGAACGTTACGTTTGAATAACAAGTCCTATTGACTTGGTTTTAATTGAATAAATCTCCTGGTTTACATGACATAGATTAGCTATTATTTTCAGTAATCTGTTTCAGTAATTGTAGGAGTTTGTTTCGTTTGTTTAAGTTCAAGTTTCTTTGTAAAGGTCTATATAAAGACCATCTTTCATTAATGAAAAAAAAGTCGAACAATTCAGTTCAGAACTCTGTTTTTTGAAAGCTCACAACTCTGTTTTTTGGATACACTGTTAACAAAACAACAAAATGGAGCATAAAGATCCAAAATTCTCAACTTAAAATAAATTGATCACATTCTTTCTTGCAATGCTCTTGTTAATGGTAGTCGACTCCAACATCCTTCACACATTCGTAGAAGATCAGATTGAATATCATGAAGAATCTCCCTTAGTCGGGATAAGCGTTCAGGTAAGAAAAACTCTTAGGGTTTCTCCCTATTGAATATGTGCAAGCGTGTGCATAAATTTGTGTATAACTAATCCTTAAAATAATCTGTTAAGGAAATTTGTTTTTTGTCGTCAAAGAATGTGTTAGGCAATTTTAACAGGCCGTCTCAATTTTTTGTAAAACCCTAGAAAAAAATCTTTTTTTGGATCCTTTTCAAGAGAAATTAAAAAAAAAATTAATTTGGGCTATTTTTCTTAAAAAATTTTAAAATTTTCACGTGGGTCCTGTGCGATAGAACCACTTGCTATCCCTCTTAGACGGTCCTGAATTTTAAAGTAACTTGTGACAAAAAAAAAAAAATATTTAAGTAACCGAATCACAAATGTTTTAACCACGGGAAATAAACCAGGAATCAAACCAAAACACAAAAATAAGATTCGTAACCAATAGCATAAGATGAAACAGAGTAACTTCGTTACGACTTACGAGCCACTCTTCCTGCAGAAACCATGATTCTCTCAAGCATGACCTTGCTCTCGTACAAAAACCTCTTGGGCCAGATCTGAACAGAGTTTTTTGAAACAATTGAATGGACCTCCACTTGCAAAGGCCCCATATTAAAAAAAAACAAATTTATGTGTTTAATTAATTAAAAATATGTTATTTTATAAAAAGAGAATGAAAATTTAGTAAAATAATATACATATTTTCTGTGAGATTAAATTTTTATGAGATTCTATAACTAAAAGATAAAAATATTAAGTAGATTTTTTCATAATTTTATTTCATATAAGAAAACATGAATGCATTATTTTTAAAACCCAAAAATTTTCAAAAATATTATTTAAAATAAATATTAGTAATCTATTATATAATGGAAGAATTTTCTCTCCATCTAGAGTGTCCACATAGGAAAAAAAAATTAAGTCATTTAAGTTTTAAAATAAGCCATATTTATTTGTTTTTATGATTAAAAAGAAAATTAAATTATAACAAAACGTGAAAGACTAAGTAGAGTGAAAAGAAAAAAATTAATAAATGTAAGACTACACAAGATTTTAGTAGTAATATGATAATATGAATTATTTTTTACCAA